TTTTTTACAACTGCTACTATTTACTGGTGGTATTTCAATGAGAATTTCGATAATACCATTGTGATAACCATATTTTTTAAATTGTAACGTTTGCGTCCTTGATTATTGCGGTTAAGACTTAACAAACATAACCACATTATATTTGAAAAATGATCAGTCCGTTAAAACTCCCAGTATCTATACAACTGTTTTATTATTATCTGTGAACAAAAAATCTGTGGGTATTACATTATCTGTTGTTCACATTAAGTAGCATCGTGATGGTTACCATTACAATATTGCAGCGTTGACGAAGTCGCAAATATTGATCAAATAATTCTCTCTGTTTAGAGACACTCTGTCGGCGGTTATTATATGTTATTACTGCCAATATCTCTAGAGATTCCCATGTGCAGTACTATTTTATATTTAGTGTGGTGGGCGAACACAATATTAAGGCATTGGCAAGCTTTACACTCGCACATATAGACTTTATTGAGTATACGTGGACCCAAGAGACAAGTTAAAACAAAAGGACGATATTGAATTATGTGATAGCATATGAGGAAGCACAAAGAAATTACGGCTGGAGCGGACCAAAGTTATGTAATCGCTGTCGCTTCATTGTAAACCGTGTAATTTATAAATTTTATTTTTTTGCGGCAATTCTATGCGATAACAATAATGTAAAACTCTATTAGTTTTTTCTACTACTGGAGAATCTTTGTAGCCCGAGGCTGTATATTTTCGTACATCTGACGACAAATAAAATATTTTCCACGACGGCAACTGTTGTGCAAAGTGCGAAAAGCGACCGGTCGACGGCACCGTACCACATTGGAGTCCAAGCCAATTGTCAGCCCTAAGACAATGGGTGGAAAATCAACTCTTGGGCCAAAGCCAAGATCCTTCATTGCCTGCGTTGTTATCTCGTTGCTTGAAAATCGCCGACTAATTTACTACCCTCTGGTTACTAAAATCAATATCCAAAAGCTCGAAGACATAAAATTTTAAAACGTTTTTCGATTGGTTTTATCTTTTCATTGAGTTAAATACAAGTAACTGTTTCTTATAATATGAAAACATTTTGAACGCATTATCTTCAAATTATTTTTTTATCGCTATATTAACATTTCCCAAGTATTATTAAATTAAATGTTTTATAACCTAAGGCTTTGTAAAAATCAGGACCGGATTAAAACCCTATAGTCTTCGGAACGATGATTCTGGAAAATATCGCTAAAAAGTAATGAGCAAAAAAACCTCTAGATGAACTCTATCACTAATCACGATTAGGCTAGCCAAATTTGAAATGGGGTACCTTATGCTCGTAGGTGGGCCTTGGGCGGTTCGCTCCCCTTGCCCCCTCTTAATCCGGGCCTGGTAAAAGTTATTTAATTACTAAAATGTAGTAGACTTCATTAATTGATATTTATATCCTACAATATATTATTATTAGAAGCGTAGGAAATGTTTCAATAAGATTTATGGTACGTATAACATCACGTAGTCGTTGAATTTAACCCATTGAAGGCGAATATCGCTCCTGCCTTTTTTCGCTCTACCAACGCACTCACAATGTACATAAAATATATTTTAATTTTAACGACTACAGCCCAATGTAATTGCACACTCCGAGAGCGGTCAAAACAACAGGACAGGGAATTTGTGTTTCAAAAAAACCACTATAAAATACGAATAACCCCAAACAGTAGTTGTTTTGAATACTTTTTTTTTCGCAGAAACAGTTGATTTTTTTAATAATGTTTCTAAAAAGAACGGCATTCAATGACTAGTCACTTTTAAGTTTTTTGATAAAGTCATTAGGTACCTATTGTACTTTTATTTGTACCTACGTAATCTTATTGCGCTTGATGTTTTTGAGGGTGTATGCTTATCAGAAATCATAAAAAAGAGCCTTTGTCCAAAGAAATTATGTAGGAATATTAACCTGACTATTCAGAATTGAATTCGCGTAAACTCTCCAAACCCTTATAATCTGTCGGATGCGAGGAGATGCGGGAAACAAGCTCATGAAACAACTTAAGAATATTGCTTTTGTTATTCTATTTTAATATTACATGTGAATACGTATGTATATGTAATCTCATCTCGCTAAGGGTCGTTTTTAAGCAAATGGGGTAAAATGTATTTTCAGGCCAATTAGGGCAACCCATTGTACTTTGTTATATTTATAGTTACTTGACGGGTCAACAGAATCCGATTTAAACTGAATTTGCTGGGTTAACTGTAAATGGTATCTCAATGGTTTGTAATTATCTACTCATCCATTATTTTGCAGTATATCGCTGTTCATATTATGCACTCAGTGTAAGGTCATTTAAAATAAATAAATCTTAGGAAAATAACTATTACTTTGGCAGGTATTTTTTTATTAAACTAAAACGCACCAAAGTGTTATTGAAACCAAATTTTATTCCATTTATTGATAATTGAGTCTCGTATTTTTATACAAAAAAAATATCTTTTTTTAAATTTTATTACTTAACTCACAATTAAAAAAATGTATATTTATTATTGCTAAAAATATAATTATACTTATATGGAATAATACAGAAATATGTGATTTTTAGTTATTTTTACTAAATATGCAAAGAAAAATTGTTTATAGAATTTATAGGAAATGCCAAAATTCATAATTAAAATTATTCTAGCTAGGTTATTGAAAAATATGCATTTGCATAAAAAAACGAGCCTCAGTTACAATAATTGGGTTAGAATTA